ACTACTACTACTACGACTACTATTACTACTACTACTACTACTACTACTACTACTACTACTACTACTACTACTACTACGACTACTACGGCGACTACGACTACTACGACTACTACTACGACTGCTACTACTACTAGTAATATTTCTTCTACTACTACTACTACGACTACTACTACTACTACCACTACTACTACTACGACTTTTACTACTACTACTACTACTACTACTACTACTTCTACTACTACTACACTACCTACTACACTACTACTACTACTACTACTACTACTACTACTACTACTACTTCTACTACTACTACTACTACTACTACTACTACTACTACTACTACTACACTACTACTACTACCACTACTACTACTACGACTACTACTACTACTACTACTACTACTACTACTACTACTACTACTACTACTACTACTACTACTACTACTACTACTACTACTACTACGCTACTACTACTACTACTACTAATGGTACTGTTACTGTTACTACTACTACTACTACTACTACTACTACTACTACGACTACTACTACTACTACTACTACTACTACTACTACTTCCACTTCTACTACTAGCTCTACTGGTGCTACTACTACTACTACTACTACTACCACTACTACTATCACTACTACTACTACTACTACTACTACTAGTATTATTACTACTAATACTACTACTACTACTACTACTACTACTACTACTACTACTAGTACTACTACAACTAGTAGTACTACTACTACTATAACTACTACTACTACAACCACTACTATTACTACCTACTACTCTACTACTACTACTACTACGACTACTATACTACTACTACTACTACTACTACTTACTACTAATGCTACTACTACTACTACTGCTACTGCTACTACTTACTACTACTACTACTACTACTACTACTATACTACTACTACTACACTAGTACGACTACTGATTACACTACTACTACTACTACTACTACTACTAGTATTATTACTACTAATACTACTACTACTACTACTTACTACTACTACTACTACTAGTACTACTAAAACTAGTAGTACTATACTACTATAACTACTACTACTACAACCACTACTATTACTACTACTACTACTACACTACTACTACTATATACTATAGCTACTACTACTACTATTACTTTACTACGCTAACTACTACTACTACTGCTACTGCTACTGCTACTACTACTACCACTACTACTACTACTACTACTACTACTACTACTACTACCACTACCACTACAAGTACGACTACTGATACTACTACTACTACTACTGCTACTACTACTACTAGTACTAGTACTAGAACTAGTACTAGTACTAGTATTAGTACTAGTACTAGTACTAGTACTAGTACTTGTACTCGTACTAGTACTAGTACTAGTACTACAACAACAACTACTACTACTGCGGAACAGGGCCGCCGGCCCTGTTCCGCCGGCCCTGTTCCGCCAACCCTGTTCCGCCGAGGCCCTGTTCCGCCGAGGCCCTCTTCCGACCGGCCCTGTTCCGGCCCGCCCTCTTCCGCCGCGGCCTTGTTCCGACCGGCCCTCTTCCGCCGAGGCCCTGTTCCGCCCAGGCCTTGTTCCGCCGGCCCTGTTCCGACCGGCCCTGTTCCGCCGCGCGAAAGCCCAAGGCGCCGGGACTGCGCGCCCCTCTGGCGGCGGAACCGGGCCGGGGCGGAACCGGGCGGGTCCGAACCAGGCGGGTCGGAACCGGGCTTGGTCGGAACCGGGCCAGGTCGGAACCGGGCCTGGTCGGAACCGGGCGGGTCGGAACCGGGCGTCGGCGGAACCGGGCGGGTCGGAACCGGGCCTGGTCGGAACAGGGTCTGTGTCTATACACATACACATACACATACACATACACATACACATACACATACACATACACATACACATACACATACACATACACATACATACACACATACATACATACACACATACATACACACACATACATACATACATAAACACATACATACATACATCCATCCATCCATCCATACATACATACATACATACATACATTCATACATACATACATATATACATATATATATATATACACACAGGGCTGGGGAAACCGGAAAAGCGGCACACGGTGCCCCCCCAAAACGAATTTCGGCCTCCCCGAGGCTTTGGGGCGCTCCTGCATAGTGCTCCGTGTCTGTCCTGCGGGTGCGACGCGAAAAAAAAATACGACGGCCAAAGAGGGCCCCGAGACACCCAAAGATCGGCCCAAGACGCCCAATCTGGGCCCAAGACTGCCCATGACGCGTCCAAGACGCCCCCAGAGACCCCTTAAGAGGCCTCCCAAGACAGCCCCGAGAGGCTATAATTGTTGATTGTCCTGTGTGTTTTTCGATGTTTTTGGCCTTCTCGCTTTTCCCGTTTCCCGACGCTCCACAATGGCCCAAGAGGCTCCCTAGATCGCCCCACTACTGCCCACGAGGCCGCCAAGAAGGCCCCGACACGGTCCAGGAGGGCTCCGAGACCGCCCAAGAGGCGCCCAAGACGGCCCAAGAGAGCACCAAGACGGCCCCAAGAGAGACCCAAGAGGGCGCCCAAAAATTCAAAAACTAAATTTTCCGCCGCGAGAGGGCCCCAAAAGGCCCGGAGAGAGCCCCATGAGGCCCCAAGAGGCCCCAAAGAGCCCCCAAGAGGCCCCCAAGAGGCCCCCAAAAGATCCCAATAACCCCAAAACACCCCCAAGAGGCTTCAAAACTGCCTCCCAGAGGGTCCCGAGAGGCGCACCACGAGATCCCAACACAGCGGTCTCCCCCTCTCATTACCCCTTCTCTTTGTCGTCGCCTTCTTCGTCGTCGTCGTTGTCGTATCAAATGGCACAGCGAGGCCATTTTTCGTTCAAGCCACCGAAGGGCCCAAGAGCTTCTCCTCCTCTTCCTCATTCTCTTCCTCCTCTACCTCCTCTTCCCTCTTCCCCCTCCTTCTAAGTCCCCGTGGTGTTTCACGTTCTGCCCCGCCAAAGGTCTAGCAGAAGCAGCTCCCCTCACTCTCCCAAGTCTCTGCTGCGGATTTCTTCCGCGACACCTCGGCTGCGCCCCAGATATCCACCTAATTTGTCCTCTTTATCCTTTTCCTCCTCTTCATCCTCCTCCTCTTCCTCCTCCT